TAAATAGCTAATTGTCTTTTCTTAAATAACAGTTCATATTTATTAAGTGGAACAACTATAAAATATATTTTAACTGTCATCACAAAATTTGTTTTTAACGGTATACAAGACTGTATTCTGATTTGCACCATTTCTGGTTTGTCATACCTTGCTTCTATCTTAATTTTATGTGTGTACATTGTTAGAATAATTTTTAAGTTTATAAATTAGCTTAGTATAAATATGGTGAGAAATTATTAGCCTAAAAAGGATACTAAGCTTCTAGAAAGCAAAATTAGTGAATTTCTTTTAATGATTGAAAATGAAAATTTCAATGTGAGAGCTGCTGCCAGAGCTGTTGAGTTGACATACCTTACTTTACTTTACACTTTCACTTAATGAAGTTAAAAAATCCAGCAAAAGTAACCCATGAGGGAACTCTCTTATATTTCAGCAGAACATGAGAATGAGTTGGCTGATTGCCTAAAATGTATGGCATGATGGAAAGATTTTTGGAAAATTTAAAGTGTTAATCTTTCTTCTTGCTTTTAAATAAATAGTTTTATTAGCTGCTTAAACATATCTTTTTGGTTTATTTGTTTGATCTTAATTACCATTATATAATTATTTTTAAGTAGCCCCTTTACAATAAAAACTGGTGATCAGTAATTACCCCAGAAGTGATCAGGAATTACCCCAGAAATGATCAAGACCAGGGGTAATTCCTGATCACTAAAAATTTAAAATCTTTCAAATTCTAATTAGATTTTCAAACAAAAGAAGGAGGCATAGGACTCATCTCATATAGCCTCAAACTTCCAGTAAATATTAAAATTCTATCTTGAATAGTTTTTTCACAAAATAGATGTTTGCATTTTTTGATCAGGAATTACCCCAGGTCACCCTACTAGTTTTACTAATACAATAAATAGTTAAGTATTCTTATTTATAAGGTATTGTGCTAAAAAATGAAGAAAAATAATAATAATATTGATTAGAAAAATAAAACATTTTACAGTTACTCAGCTAATTTCTATTTACTTAAATTTCTACTTCAGTACTGTTCATTCTTGAAAGCAAAATCAACCACTTCCAAACCAGTAAAATAACAAACATTTATTTTTATTTTTAAAAGTACAATGTATAATATTTTCACTAATACATTTGGTAATTTTTTTACTAATACAGTAAATAGTCATTCGTATTTGTGAGCAATGAACACAAATATCTTACTAATAAATATAAAATATTTGTTGATATTGAGTAAAAAATAAAACATTCAACAGTTGTAGTACAGATATAATTTCTATTTATTTTAATTTCATACCATCCTTTTACAATGATTGCTAATTACAGAGATTGCTGATAATTATTTTATTATGATTCTATTTAAATAATTAGCGGTCTGTTAGATCAACAGACTACTAATTATTACAAGCCCTGCTTAATGTGCGGAGGATTTTGGGATTTGAAAACATAGAATACAGTTGAAGGCTTAAGTAATGAAAACTAATAAATAATTGAAAATTTAAATTTATTATTTACCTCACGTATCCTTTGCGTAAGAACATTCTGTTCAGCACTGACAATTTCAGCACAAAGCTTAAGGTGCTCTTGATATCTTTGGCAGAGATTTAGTATACATTGATGGTCCAATTTGTCAAGAATTTCTTGATCTTGGATAGTTGGAATGTTTAAAGCACCCCGCATGATTGGATGAAAAGTTGGTATTTTCTGCAAGGGGAAAAAATATTATAATGTAACAATAACAAAAACAAACAAACTATTGTTTCGTTGCGTAAAATATCAATTTAACGCATATATTGTAAGAGTAATAAATGGTTTAAGTTTTGTGCGATGTATCTGAACTTTGATTTAAGCTGCCAATATAAAAATGAAAAAAAAAAATGCACAGCATATTATATGCAAAAATTCATTGCCTACATTACTGTTACAATGCTGAGGTTTCGTTTGGTTTCGTTTAGTTAAAAAGATGTTGCTTTTATCTCGCTATGAAGACCATGTTTGTTCCGTTAGATGGTTAGGAGAGACTTTAATCAGAAGTCTCTGTTTTGTGCAAAGATCATTGTCAAAATGTAGAACTTAATGCACTGTTTTTTTCTGGATTGGAAAACTTTATTCACAAATTATTTTCAGTGGAACTTATGACTCTTCACAATCAGTATGCATTATTCCATCACCTTTTTTTTTCTTTTCTTTTTAGATAATAAGGGCGTAACAATGTTTCTTGTAAATTATTTTCAGTGAGACTTCTGCACTTGTGTTACTTTGTAATTGCTATGGATTATTTTATTCTGAACTTAATCTAATCATGGAAACAAAAAATCATTCATCAAAAAAGTTTTTTTTAACAATTGTTTTTTTTAACAGGTCAAAAATTTAATAGCAGTATTTTGTATTTGAATAATTTATACTTTGTAATAAAAAATTTCTCGGTTTTTCCTCTTTTCTTTAATTTTTGTGATAGAATTTTATTTATTTAAACAAATAAATCTTCAGTTGTTTTTATTTTTCAAAAATTAAGGCTTTAAAATCAATAATCCCTTACGATCTTTAATTGTTTTTATATTAAAAGAAATTAAAATAAAATTTGTGTTATACATTTTTTTAAAGTAAAATTTGGCTTGTAGTTAAAAAGACTTAGTTTTAGTAATTAAATAAAAAGTTCAGTGATATTTTGATGTTTTAAAAGTAGTTTCATTTTTTTAAAAAAAAAATTAACAATACTACTATTTATTTTATTATTTTTAAAACTTTCTTTCAATCTATGAAAGTTTAATATTTTGTTAGAAATTCATTGCTACTTTTAAACAAATAAGTTGTAAAAACGGTAAATGAAATAAAACAAATTAAATTTATTTTTACGATTAATAAGTATAGAATTCAAAATTAAATAAAGCTTTATTATTTTAAATAAATAGATAAAAAAAAGTATAGCAATATTTCAAAAGCGGGTTCGATTCTTAAAATAATTTAAAACTTTGTTTTACTTAAGTAGTGTAAAATTACTTTTGCTTTTAACCATCGTTTTTTATTTTTAAAAAATTTCCAATAATATATGTAAAATTTATTGATAGAATTTCATTATTATTTTTAAACTATTAAATCTTAAGTTGTTTTTAATCAAAGAAAACTAGAAAGCTAAAACACTTGTTTTTATTTTTAGAATTAAGTCTTAAGTCAATCCATCTTTACTATTCTAATTAAAAATAATTAAGCAATGTAAATGTTATAAAAGCATTTTGACAATAATTAACATTTCCTTTTGTTATATATTTATTTATCTTATATATTTTTGATTGATTTAATATTTCTGATTTCATAGTTTTGATTTAAAAAAAAATAACAATATTCGATCTTTTGTTATATTGCAGTTATGTTAACAAATATATCACAATATAAAATTTCTTACATCAGCCAGTTCTAGTTGATGATAAATCAATATTATATAGTAAATTTTCAGTCTTTTACAATAAGCTAATTTATTACAATAAATAAAAATTTATAAAAAAATGTCTGGTAAACAAAACAACTTCAAGTAACATATACGGATAGAACATTTGCTAACAATTAAATGCACTTAACTCATAATAACAATGTTTTGTAAAAATAATTCTTGGTATCATTCACTCCAATTTTTATTAACTTTTAAAGATTAATTTTTATGCGTATATGACATGGAAAGTTACTATAACAAAAATTATAAAAACTACTTGATTCCTTTTTAATTGAGTTACATGCATACAAAATCTACAAATATAACAATTGTAAATGGCGTAATCGCCCATTAAGAAATAAACTTTAAATTAAAAAATTTTCATTTTTAGCTATATAAACACAATTTTAATGTATCAGGGTGCGTAGTCAAATCTTACAACAAAAAATAAGCACCTTTTAAGTGCTTTTCATTTTCAAGCACTCAAAAAATATTTTTAAGCACTATATACATTAACGAAATGCAAAATAATTTACTAAGATTTTACGTGATCATGATAAAATAACTAGTTTCTGACAAAGGACTCTTTGCTTGATTATATTAGCCATCATAAAATGATTTTTCGTTCCGATATCAGAGGGTGGAAAATGAAGCCTGAAATCGAAAATATCTTGCAAAATGCAACAGAGTTGCACATGAGAGTGCAATAATCTCACTGAACCCAGCTCAGTAGACGCACATGCCGACTCGCAAGTATTTCATCATACATGTAAAATGATTTTATACTTTATAGNTTCTGAATTAGAATTCTTTTCTTGCATGAACAATGTAAAACAGAAACAAACTGAGCTATAAGTTGGGAAGAATTGAAAGTTAAAAGGGAATAGTTTGTATCAACTACATATGTTTTTTTTATGTTTTAGTTAAGCTCATGTAGGTTCAATAACAATAATTTTATTCATTGTTATTCATTAAAAAATGACGAGAATCAATCGTGCCGTTATGCTTTTTAAGTATAACGGAAAAAGGTATAGTTCAAAGAGCAGAAGAAAGTATTGATGACAATTATGAAAGATGTAATATTGAAAGAATGCATAGGAGATGTGCCATCATACATGTTATTTAAAAGCATAATTATTGTGTTGTTTCTGCAAGTTTTTCTATTAACTGCAATTTATTTAAATTTAAATTTTTTTATTTCAATAACTTATTATTGGCAAAAAATTTTAATTTTTGAAAGAGGAATTAATTTTGAAGATTTCAATAATTGGTATAAATTCTTAAAATTTTACACTAGAACGCATTTCAAATGGGTTTAACCTCGTAGAGAGTGGATCTCATATGGTTTGGAAACCAAATCATCATACAAGTTGCACGGCAATCTTTGGGAGTTGGGGAGCCTCATAAAAGAGGGAGCGGAGCATACTAGTTACAACTATTGGAACCACTGTTTAAACACACCAGATGTTAAACAACATGGCCACTTTATACGAATAAACATGTTTTTATTTATATGTTTCTATTTATTAAAGCTATTTCGATTTATACAACTATTAATACCACTGTTTAAACACACCAGATGTTAAACAACAAGGCCACTTTTTACGAATAAACATGTTTTTATTTATATGTTTCTATTTATTAAAACTATTTCTATTTATAAAACTATTAAAACCACTGTTTAAACACACCAGATGTTAAACATGGCCCCTTTTTAGAAATAAACATGTTTTTATTTATATGTTTCAAATTTATTACATACTAAAAGGTCATGCATTAAATGAGTAAATGTTAGTGCATACGCTCACCATGCTCAGATCATTATATAATCTATGATCCCTAAGCATACAAAAAATAAAATAATTTCTTGTTATTACTAAGAGCCAGTTCTACCAACTTCAGTGTTCCTAATTGGAAAAAAAATTTTAAATTTTACAGAAAGAGGAATAATTAGGAGACTAAAAAAAATTTTAGCACGGTCAAACGAAACAATGAGAGAAATAAATATATGCTATACAAGTAATGCGTCTGTGGATTTAAAAACATTGAAGAAGCATTATTTTCAAGCATATGATATAAATAATAAACAAAACATTTTATAACTCAATCTGAATGACTATTGGTTTTCATATATGGTATTTTTTGCTACGTCTTTGCAACAAGGGGAATATTTCATGGATAATGTTTAAATATGGTTTGTTTTCAAACGGATAAAATCATGTTTTATACAACTAGTTCAGCCTAGTCACAATGTAAAATTACCTCCAATAGGGCGATTTACAGTATACGATATGTACGGAATATCAGAATCGGAACTAATTGATGGCCTAGGAGAAGAACATCTAACATTCTGAGGTTCCTTTACTTTAGTTGTTGATTTGACACTTTGGGATCTAGCTGACTGGCTACTTTGTTCCGAACCCATTTGTAACTGAAAAAGTGAAGAACAAGTTCAGAAGATTAATTAAAAATTCATTCAGTCATGTTTCAGGAATAAAAAAAAAAATTAGTCACAAATTTACTCTATCTGCCACTGTACACTGTCATAATCAAAATAAACAAAGTTGGAGCCACAGAGTAGAAAAAAGGAGATGGACAAGCCTTTGCATGCCAAGAAAGGAGCATTAACTTTCCTCAGTACAGAACGTCATAGTATCGCCATCTATTGAGATTAAAACTTTACTTAAAATTAGCAAACAATTTAATTTAAATAAGAAGTACTTTCATAATTTTCACATGAAAATTTAGAAATTAAATTGAAAATATGTTTTAGCCACAGAAAAAGCAAATTTTAATCAGTTTAAATAATATAATGATGTAAGTTTTTGTTTGCATAATTTTCAATGTAGATGGCAATATAAATGGGAAATGACTAACTCCGTTCAAAACGTAGAAGCACTACTGTTTCACCTCCTGCGCTTCCTGACTTCTTTGGTTTTGGTTTACTGTTGTTTTGTTGTTGAACTCCAATACTTGATGGCCAAAAGTATAAATATTGCAAAGGATCGAAGTTTCGTTGGCAAGGTATTAATTCGATGTGCTTGAATGACAGTAAATATGAATTCATATAATTTAGTTACTTTTTTTTACATATTTGAGAACTAGTAATCATTTTAGATGTTAGAAATTATCTAACATTGCCCTTATAAACTATTATGTCTCTTTATAACTTAGCAAACTCTATTTATAATAACGATAGTCCGTTTTTGTTTTCATTTGCCATTATTGAATTCCTACATTAATTAATTTCTAATTTGAGACGAATAGTACCCATTAACAATGTACAATTAACTTGTGAGGGAATAATTGCTTTTATTTTAAAATATAAATACTTGCTTAGAAAAATTATAAATTTTTATGATTTTGTGCATGACAAAATTTTCTGTATTTTCTTCAGAGTATCAATAGTTCTAATTGTATCCAGTGTTCATAGTTATCTTATTTATTGATCAAATCACTAATGATTTTGGTAAATTGTATGTATCTTTGAAATTTCGTAGGAAATACAGTTGAACCTGTTTATCTCGAATCTCACGGAATAAGCGAAAAATTCGAGATAAAGAGGTTTTGAGTTATACAGGTACTTTTTTTAATTGAATTAGGAAATTCTATTAAAAGTGTAATTGTTTTTAGTAGAAAAATATAGACATTTCTAATTATACCACATACATTATATACTAATTATACCACTTACATATATTTACATAGCAGTTTTTTAACATACATTTAACGCTGAAAATAATTTTTCCAAGATTTTTGACCTATAATCTTATTTGTTACGATTATTCTTTTGAGGTTAGAAAGATCGCAAATTCCTCAGAGCTAACATTTTCCTGGGTTTCAAGAGTAGTTTATAAGAATTTTACAGCTTTTTCTACTCCTTTTGCATTCACTTTTGATTCATCAATATGATCTTCAGCTTCTTCCTCTTCATCTGATATTCCTTTGACATTATCTATGATTTCCGCATCTGTCAATGTTCCTCGTGTTGCCAGGCAGTTGTCCACTTGTAAAAATCTTCAAAATTAAGGTCAACATTAAATCTAGATTTCATTACATTTTCAGCGTTAACATTTTATTCTTCTTTACTGATGCCTTCAACCTCTTATTCATCATCTTCCACAGCTATTCTTAAAACCAGCTTTTTAAAATCATTTTGGATAGTTTTTAGAGGCACATTTCTCCAGGCAAAACAGTAATTCTGATATCATCTAACTTTTTTCATCAATGGCATCTACAAGTTTGCTTCCCAACTTTTTTCTATAGTTCACTTTAAAACTCTTAATTATCCTTTGATCCATTGGTTGCAATTTTGAGGTCAAAATGAATTTCTATTCTTAGCTTTCTTATCTATGTTGAAAAGCTAACCCCTGTTGGTCACTACTCATTAACCCCTCACTTACTATCAGAATCATTGTATTCCTTTCTAGTTAAGGGCAGGGACAGTGATTGAAATTCCAAAAAACACCCCCAACCTGTTAATCCCTACTTCCTGTGGGTTCACGAAATTCATCTCTGTCTACGAGTTCTACTGATATAGAAAGTTATGACATTTGTGTTCTATCATCAGAAATTCGAGAAACAGAGGTTTTGAAAAAAAAATTTAGAAATAAACATGGAAAATACATTGATTTTAGAGAGTAAATGTAGGGAATTTTAGAAATTTCGAGATAAAGAGGTTTTCGAGATAAACCGGTTCAACTGTACAAGCAATTTTATTTGTTATTTCTGTTTCTACAAACTGTTAGTACATATGCATTCAAAGTTTTTTAATTGTTTATGTTTGTTTATATATAAAGATGGAGACTACTAAAACACTTAGAAATTTTGATCCAGACACAATAAATAGATTATTGATGTCTATGGGTCATTTGAAGTTCTCCCTACGGTCTCTTGCTTCAGAAGGTGTCTGTTCAGAAGATGCAGTGTTGGCTACTGAGGTATATTTTATTTGAAATAATTTTATAAATGTTTGTAATTTTCCCCCATTTCATTGTGTGTTTGTAATTTTTATAATATAGTTTAGGGTGTTTCAAAAATATCATTTATAAAGCTATAAAAAATTTAGTGTATTACAGGGCTCGAAAAACCGCCCGTCCTCAGCGGTCAAAAATTCCCAGCGGACAACGAATTTCTCAAATCCGACGTCCGTGCAGACGACCATTTTCCCATTGATGTTGATTATACCTTTTCAATTTTTGCTATCTGACAAGAGTCTAGCGCCTCACTTCTAAAATGACCCTCTAATCTAGAAATACAGCAACATACTGCGCATGGTGGAATTGATATTCTCTGTCTCCCGTACTGCAGCTGTTGAAAGGGACTTTTCAGCAATGAACTTACAATAAAAAGAAGAAAACATTACGTACTGGTCTTAAACAAGAAGTGTTAAACGCAATTATGAACATCTACCTAAATGGAAAACCCCTTTCAGATTTTTGTGCAGAAACCTCTATAAATCATTAGCTTGATTGTGGAACTGGCAAACGTCATATTTCATTCATTTAAAAAACGCAGTACCCTCGGATAACTTGACATTCCAGATAACTTGACATTTGTCATTTAAATTATTTCATGAAATAAATAAATAATTTCATAAAAGAAATAAATTATTTGTTATACTAGGTTCCTATTAGTAACCTAGTATTCCTTTTATTACTGTATAATGCAATCGTAGTATTTGTAATCCTTGTAACTACTAATTCATTGTGCAATTTATGTGAATGTTTGTAATAAATAAGAGAAAATTATATTTTTATTTATTTAGAAGCGACGGGTTAGTTTCAAAGGAGGACGGGTACATTGTTGGACAAGCCGTCCTCGGGGACGGGTAAAATTTTTGAGTTTTTTCGAGCCCTGGTGTATTAACAGTTTGTCCTTAAATAGCAATTTTATTACTATAGACCAATAATGCCCCTTTTTTAAATGTTTTTTTTTCTCCTCAAAATATGAAACAGGCAGTATTTTTTCTTGTTTTTATATAATTTATTTTGTTTGGGAGGTGACGGTGGATGTATGCCCCTTCAATAATTAGAAATCTCTACAAGTTCGCCACAATATTTCAGGCAAAGAAAGAAAATTTTTGCGAACTATCATCAGATTCAATTCCTTAAAGTTTGAAACAAGAAAGAGATAAAATAATTAATCTTTTTGCAGGCATTTTGGACATTTCGGAATATTTTTCTTCTTATCAGTGAAATATCGGCAACTATTAGATCCCTGTAATACCCATGATTTTGGACATTTTTCTATAATTGCTGATTTGTATTTTTTACAAAAGCTAAACTTAAGATTGCAATAGACAAAAGTTAATGTTCCTAAAACAATCATTTTATTCTATTATAGCAATAATACTATCCAACACCAAAATGTGTCCAAGGCCTAGTTTTCCAAGAATACTGTAAATTAATATTAAATGTTGAAAAATAACTTAAAAAAAAGTCTTATCTGAGAACTATTTGTTTATTTAAAAAAGATTAAAAATAAGTGGTACTCAGATGTATAATGCAAAATGCCATGAAATAATGAGATATAAAAGTAATAAAGACTAAAATAAAATTAAATATAATATGAACTTAAAAACACAATATATAATAACCTAAAAATAATATGAACTTATTCCTTTTTAAAATCTGTCCCTAAAAACAAAATATTTGGCAGTCATCAGTTAAGTAAGCTGTAGGAAAAGAGATGCCCAAGGCTTGGTCTAAATTCTGTGCAATTTTTTTTAAAACCTAATTTTCTAAAAAGAAAAACAGATGTGATTGTATCCCTGGGGTATCCTGTAATTCCAGATTTTTGGTATAATCCTTTCGGGTCTAAGAATTAGGTGTGCATGGCATATGATTTTTTGGGAAATATCTCGCGAAATTCCACATTTCTCGAGACCATTAGACCATTGGTTCTAGAACTTTCGCTAATCAAAAACATATAATCTGACAAAATCTTCACGGAATTCCTCTGTCTAAAATTCAAATTTTGAAAGTTTTGCTAATTCCCGTTAAGGAGACGCTTACATTCTTCTGCCAATGGGCATGAATCCTCAGATTAATTCTTTTAGTTTGGTGGATTTTCACCATTTTGAGTAGTGCCGGAATCCACCGCTAATATCACGGTTCGTATTCTCACAGTTTGAATATTAAACATTGTTTTTTGCATTTACCTTATTTAAGTTATACATTGCGATTTGTATTCACGTGGCTTACAAAAAGTACATTGCGATTTGTATTCATACAATTTTAAATTCCGAAACCGTGATTTGTTTTCAAGCGATTTTAAAAATACAAAATCACGCCTCATGTTCACGCAATTTAAAAAATCCCACATCGCGATTCGTGTAAGTTAGTTACTATAAAAGTGCGATATTCATCATTGGTAAAAAATTAAATTATAAATTTTATTTAAACAACATTATGTTAAATAGGAAACATGTATGGTAATTTAAATTAATATCTTGATATTTTTTGCACATGAAATTTTGAGGATTTTTCACTTTGTCTCACTATCACCCCTTTAAAACCTAAAGAGAATTTTCTTTCATTTCTATAAGAACTTCAATTTTGAATGAAGGCTTTTTAAAAATTTGATAAGATATTAAAGTAAGATTTTTTAGTGTTTTAAGAAAGGAGCTTGCTGTAAATTTTATCCTGGATCCTGCCAAATCTGTATTTAGCCTTGATCATGGGTTAATGTGATATGTTAGACAAGTAAATTCAGTCATATTATGGTATATATTGTCTTCTCTGAAACTGATTAAAATTTAATGGTTTTCCTTTCAATAGTAAGATTACATGAGGAATAGTTATAGATAATTATGTATATTAAAAGTGTAACAAAAGAATATGTTTTAGTGTCGGTGTTAGTTTATAAATCATAATAAAAACGTTAGTTTACAGTTGGTCCATTTGCAATGAAAAACAATGCTTTGTTAGCAACTTACTAATGTTTCTTTACTTGCTAAAACTCTTTTTTTAATTTTACTTATTATAATAATTTTATAAATATGTATTTGCATATTTTTGTATATAAATTTTAAATATATATAAATTTTTTATAATTTTAAATTAAAATATCTGCGGAATTTTAACTTTAAAAATTCAAATTTGCTGAACATAGGTGCCACTCTTCAGTCCTGAGAATTCAAATCAGGCTCTGTCCTTTTAATTAATATCTATTTCCAATTTGTTTTTTAAATTAAGTTTTCGAAAAAAAAAATTTTTTTTTCTTTAGAAAATTTAAAAGTATTTTAACTGAATAATATTCAATCATGAAATAATTTTTTTTTAACTGAATATTATTCAATCATGAAATAAAAAATTGTTAACTGAATATTATTCAATCATATTGAAATCTCAAATAAACAGTACTACTGCGGACTGGTCGTAAAACTAGTCAGCGGACTAGTCAGTAGATTACCAAAGTCAAGCATTACTGACAGTGGTCACTCAGCAGGTGATTGACCAATCTGATCAGCCTGTGAAGGGACCGTGGGTGCACTGTATATGTTCTCATTAAGCCTTTCTACTATAAAGTGGGTAGCTTCATCCGCAGGTCTCTGAGCTACCAAAGCGTGGGAGTCATTTCCTCAACAGAGGATCAAAGTTGTGATGGCCTGTCTATTTCCTTTACAGAGAATCAAAATTGTGTTGGCAATTGTCTCTGAATTATCGTCAGACGGTCGTCAATGGTGCAGCTCTAGTGTGACGTAAATAAATAACTACCACTACTGAGTAAAAAAACAACTACAGTTGGGAACCGATTATCCGGAATGATCGGGACCATCGCTATTCCGGATAACTGATTTTTCCGGTTTTCTGAATCGCTACAAAAAGGCGTTTTTTATTGTTAAACCCAACTAAAAAAAAATTTTTTTTTTTGGAAATAATCTTAAAAAGAAGAAAAAACGATGAAGTAATACACTAATGNCCAGTGTTCATAGTTATCTTATTTATTGATCAAATCACTAATGATTTTGGTAAATTGTATGTATCTTTGAAATTTCGTAGGAAATACAGTTGAACCTGTTTATCTCGAATCTCACGGAATAAGCGAAAAATTCGAGATAAAGAGGTTTTGAGTTATACAGGTACTTTTTTTAATTGAATTAGGAAATTCTATTAAAAGTGTAATTGTTTTTAGTAGAAAAATATAGACATTTCTAATTATACCACATACATTATATACTAATTATACCACTTACATATATTTACATAGCAGTTTTTTAACATACATTTAACGCTGAAAATAATTTTTCCAAGATTTTTGACCTATAATCTTATTTGTTACGATTATTCTTTTGAGGTTAGAAAGATCGCAAATTCCTCAGAGCTAACATTTTCCTGGGTTTCAAGAGTAGTTTATAAGAATTTTACAGCTTTTTCTACTCCTTTTGCATTCACTTTTGATTCATCAATATGATCTTCAGCTTCTTCCTCTTCATCTGATATTCCTTTGACATTATCTATGATTTCCACATCTGTCAATGTTCCTCGTGTTGCCAGGCAGTTGTCCACTTGTAAAAATCTTCAAAATTAAGGTCAACATTAAATCCAGATTTTATTCCATTTTCAGCGTTAATATTTTATTCTTCTTTACTGTTGCCTTCAACCTCTTATTCATCATCTTCCACAGCTATTCTTAAAACCAGCTTTTTAAAATCATTTTGGATAGTTTTTAGAGACAAATTTCTCCAGGCAAAACAGTAATTCTGATATTGTCTTACTTTTTTCATCAATGGCATCTACAAGTTTGCTTCCCAACTTTTTTCTATAGTACACTTTAAAACTCTTAATTATCCTTTGATCCATTGGTTGCAATTTTGTGGTCAAAATGAATTTCTATTCTTAGCTTTCTTTTCTATGCTGAAAAGCTAACCCCTGTTGGTCACTACTCATTAAGCCCTCACTTACTGTCAGAATCATTTTAAGTTAAGGGCAGGGATAGTGATTGAAATTCCAAGAAACACCGCTAACCTGTTCATCCCTACTTCCAGTGGGTTCACAAAATTCATCTCTGTCTACGAGTTCTACTGATGTAGAAAGTTATGACATTTGTGCTCTATCATTAGAAATTTGAGAAACGGAGATTTTGAAAAAAAATTCGACATAAACATGCAAAATACATTGATTTTAGACAGTAAGTGTAGGGAATTTTAGAAATTTCGAGATAAACAGGTTCAACTGTACAAGCAATTTTATTTGTTATTTCTGTTTCTACAAACTGATAGTTCATATGTATTCAAAGTTTTTTAATTATTTATGTTTGTTTATATATAAAGATGGAGACTACTAAAACACTTAGAAATTTTGATCCAGACACAATAAATAGATTATTGATGTCTATGGGTCATTTAAAGTTCTCTCTACGGTCTCTTGCTTCAGAAGGTGTCGTTTGTTCAGAAGATGCAGTGTTGACTACTGAGGTATATTTTATTTGAAATAATTTTATAAATGTTTGTAATTTTTCCCCATTTCATTGTGAGTTTGTAATTTTTATAATATAGTCCCTGTGGCAGGATTTTTTCGAGCTATCTGCGACAAAACTCAATAGCACTAATATCTTTCTGCAAGATACTTTTAATAATAACAAACATATATGCTACTAATTTAAAATAACAAAAGTGCTGTGTTTTCAAACAAAAAACTATACCTAATTTTTTTTAATTGACCATGTAATAATTTTTTATTCTAATTTTATTGGTGATATTTTCACATTTTAATGGGGGGATGCACTATTTTTTCCTTTGTCGCATTTTGTTAATAATCGTCAAAATAAAAATAAATAATTATAAATCACGAAATCCACGTAGTAGTAATCTCCGAAAAAAGATAGATGACTAAATCACGCAAATCGGACAAGTAAAAAAGGGATTACTCAAATGCTTGTTTTGTTTCAAGATTAGGTTGTTGTAATAAATCGTATCATATAAAAAAATATTGGATTTAAAAACTGTGGAGAAATCAATAGCGATAACTGCCAAAAAAAATCAATAAAATCATTGCCTTAAAAAGTAAATACTCAAAGACACAAATCTAATTTTCCGTATTGTTTAAAATAAATTTGGATATTTAAAAACCACTTGAAAATCAATATAAAAAAATGCCGAAAATACAATTGAAACATTACATCGATTTACAGAATTATCGCCATAAATTGAGCATGCCAAAAAGTGATCAAAATGCATGATTCAAATATTACGTGTAAATTTATGTAGAAAAGAAAACTAAAACTTTTTAAAAGAAAAATCTTTCTGCAAGAACTCTGTATTGTTCTGCGACAATGTCGCCATGTCACTGCGTTTCTGCCATGAGGAATATGGTTTAGGATGTTTCAAAAATATCATTTATTAAGCTATAAAAAATTTAATGTATTAACAGTGTTTGAATATCAATTTTATTACTATAGACCGATAATGCCCTTTTTTAAATGTTTTTTCTCTACGCAAGATATGAAACAGACAATATTTTTGCTTGTTTTTATGTAATTTATTTGGATTGTTTGCGAGTGGACGTTGGATATATGCCCCCTCAATAATCAGAAATCTATAAAAGTTCCCTGTGTTATTTCAGACAAAGAAAGAAAATTTTTGCGAACTATCATCACATTCAATTGCTTAAAGTTAAAAACAGGAAGGCGATAAAATAATTAATCTTTTTGCCGGCATTTTGGACTTTTCAGAATATTTTTCTTCTTATCAGTGAAATATAAGCAACTATTAGATCCCTGTAATGCCCATGACTTTGGACATTTTTCTATAATTGATGAGTTGTATTTTTTACAAAAGCAAAACTTAAGATTGCTATAGGCAAAAGTTAATGTTCCTAAAAGAATTATTTTATTGTATTATGTATTTATGTGTTCTTAATTCTCTAGGAATGTGAAAGTTTTCCTTGTGATGTCCCTATAGAATCCAATAAGATCTTGGAGAAAGCAATATCTGAAATAGCTTCAACACCGGAAAATAGTGATGCCAAATGTGCCAAGATTCCCAATAATAAAACTTCTATTGAAAATCTACAAATTGTTCGAGATAAATTACGTAAAGAACTGAAAAATATTCGTTTGTATCATCAATCTATTCTTTCTGAAAAACTTGAGGAAAAGAATAATTTAACTAGTTGATAGTTCTAGGTTTTTATTATTATGTTTTAAATTGTAGAGTTAGGTAAATACAACTTTACTTTTTAACTTTAATGATACATGTTAACCATGTATTTCTATGAGGGGTTTTGATTACTCCTTAAAAGTTTTTATTTAAAAAAACTGTATTTCTTTCTAATTTTTTTGTGCAATAAGTTTTATTTTTTGTTAAAAGTATGTTACAGTATTCAATTCATCTATAACTTATTTGTGTGAAGAACTATTGTTACCTATTTTTAAAGTTTATTTGAACTGAACATTTGCATTTCCTGTTACAAAACTATTGGTAAAACTATTGCAAAATACCTTGTTCCTCTGCAAATGTCTTGGCATGTCTTATTTTATTAGTTAAAGAATATTAAGATACACTTTGAGCAAATAATTTTTTAACATTGGGTTTCTTATTTAATTTTTTTTAGTTAAATATGATATGCCATGATTATTTTTTTTAAGTTCCAAATTTTCATAAAACTATATTTTTTAAATTGTATGAAATATGAAAGCTTATTATAATCAAGGCAAAAAAAAGACCTCTTTTTTTTTCAAAATTTTATTTTAGAGAAAATTGCATTTGAATGCAACTTGCTTTTACTATTTTAACTTTTGCACTAAAGTTTGTCTTAAAATGCATACTAACAGGGCTGATTGTGCTCTGGAAAAAATCCGGATTTCCGGAATTTTCGCTAACAGTGATCCGGAAGTTTCCGGAGATCGAAGGTCCAGATGTTTCAATAAATCATTGATTACAGAAGTTTCCGAAAATCAAATTTTCAAAGGTGGAACTTAAAAACACAGTTTATTTTATTTGTTTATAAGGAAGAGCCAAAGAGATACTTTATAAGCTCATATTCATGATTAATTTTCATTTTTTATCAATAAATAGTTGTTATAATCATAAACTCAAGAAAGAAAGACATATTTGTAAATTTTAATTACTTCTCCAGGTCATCATAGCTATGTGTAAATGGTATAGGTATGTGTAAAATTGTAAATATATTTTAAGTTAACTAACAAATATTGAGAAAAAAGAAAAAAAACTTGTTTAAATTTTTTTCTAATTTTTCAATTAAAGTGTTCTTTTTTTTCTTCCTCTTCTTCTTTTTTTTTTAAACTTTTTAACTCAATGAATTTTCCGGAATTTTGACTTGGGCTCACAATCACCCCTGAACTAAGTTCCTAAAAGTGCACTAATTTCTTCCAGGAATATTGATTCTAATTTTGTGAACAATCATTTTGTTATTACTAATTCATTTCATTAATTTCTTTAGTTTTTTTTAAAAAGTTGTTTTCTTTGAAAAAAAAAACTAAATATTCTTTTGTTTAAATATTTTTTAAAAAAAAATATTTTGTTTCTTTGTGCATTTTAATATTAGTTCATGTCGCTTTGATATCTTCATTGCTACTAATTATCAATGTTATTAGTAATAACATGATTTTATTAGCTTCATTTTACATAAACATAAATATGTGATTTTCATTATTAGTTGATTTTGTTTGAATTATATTTCGCAGTGCTACAAGATCCTTTCATAATTTTTAAAAATGCTTCAAAAGCATTTCTAACTACAGCAAAAGCCTTTACAAAATCAATCAAATGAGTTTTTTTAATGAAAAATATGATTGTTGAATTAATCTATTTTTTAGCATTAGATGACAGTAATTATAATAATCTTGATTGAATAAAAATCTTGATTTGTTATGCATTTGTTCCAAGTTTCTAGTAAATACTTAACATATTTGAGTAGAACTTGTTCACTTGATTTTTGGTCTTGCTCATTTTTGGTTTAATGTGTAAAACACTTGATTAATAAAATATTTTGAAATTTAATGAATTAGAAAGTTAAAGCAGATGACAAAATTGAAATTAGAACTACTTTACTTAGTAGCTTTTAAAGAAAGGGCAATTTTCTCTTAGTTTTTATAATACTTGGTCTCAATGAAAATTATTAAATTTTTATAATGAAATATTCTGGGCCCACGTTAAGAACCTTAAATTATTAGCTGGTAAATTAGCCGAATATTAAAAGTATAGGCCAAAGTTCAAAATTCTTAGCAAATCTTAACAATTTCTTATGATTAATTTTTTAACATAGAAAACTTCAAATCAAAATACAAATTTACCACGCTTTGAATTGTTTTATAAAATGCAAATTCAAATCATAAGTTATTTTGCAGTTATGATGTAATTGTCTAGAGCTGTAATTTAAGAAAAAACATTAGGCAACATTATGTTATTGCCACATATTTTTTGCATCCAATTTGGATGATAATATGCATCTTACTACCATATAATCTGTTTTATTGACACAAACTGTAGGAAAAAATTTGTCAAGTTATGTCACTTGATCTGGCAACAAACTTAGTAATCTGTGCTTTCATAATCTCTTGTGTTACTTACATTATCTATAGTACTTAATATAATTCTAATCTGTTATGCAACTTATCTGTAATGACTGTAATCGAATAAAAAATACAGGAATTGAGAATTTACTTTTACTTTTTTTCTTCTTTTCTGGATTGAGGAGAATATATATATTTCTTTTTGGTAGAAAAATTATTCACCAATACTTTCGCCGAATTAACGATTTTGTTGCATTTGACGAGGTGGTGAATGCTTTGCAGGGGCAATGAAAATTAATTCCACAGACTTTAATCTTTTAATGCAATGATCATGCTTCACAATTGATTCTCATAAATGCTACAAGATGTGCAATTCTGGGAATTTTTTGTAATCACCACTGATAATATACATATCATATTAAGTCCATGTAATATTTCACATTAAACTGAATTAATTTTGTAACAATACTTTTATAATCTTGAAATTTTTTCAACATAGGTGAAATATTTATTTAATTCTTATGAAATGGATCTTAACACTTTATTGAAAATTTACCATAACTAGATTTTTGTTCATTAAAAATGTTCTCATATCATTTATCTATTACTCTTAAAATAAACATATCATTTTCTTTTTATTATGAAGTCATGTTTTGAAACTTAGATACTTGGTTTTTATATTTATCTTGTGTCATATGTTTACATAGTTATTATGAGTGTCTTATTTACATAGTTCAGTTTAGATGTTTATGAGAGTATTATTATTTCATAAAAAAATACCTGTATTTTTATGATAATTCCATCTTAAAATTCAGTAATGCAAAGTTTGCATTAATTATAAAAAAATTAAAAAAAATGCTTCTAAATAATTTAGAATAATGATCTTTTTTGTTCTCTATATCTACTTTCTTACTTTCACTACATCTTACTTCCTTTTGGACTTGTTTATTTGTAAAATATTTTTTATAAAACTAATCGGTAATAGAATTAGAAATATTTCGCTTGCTCTAATACAGTCTAACTCATGTATAAAGAGACCTGATTTATTTAAGAAACCTGAAATATTTGATTTGTATAATGTTATGTCTTTGGCTTGCTTGTATGCTTGTAATAAGCAATCCCTAGTTTCAGTAATCGCAATTTTTTTAATTCATAAAATTTCTACTTAATTTTACCTCCCAAGCTCAGAAAAATTCCCTTCTTAGAAAAATTTATTTCTGATGTTTTGTGAGTTGACGAATTCCTTTTTGATGTTGCATTGTTTAAAAGGCCATGAAGCTTATCTGAAGAACATTAATACAACAAAGTGAATATTTGAAAGTTTAAAGCAAATTATTTACTTTTGTACAAAATTGTACTGAAAATACTAATTGTAAAGAAATAAAAAATAAATTATATTTTTAATTTAGTTTGTATTTATGAACTTACATGATTTTAACTGGAAACCTGTTTTTTAAAAGCAGTCCCTTTATGCTTGTTAAAGGAAAGTTCGACTGAATTGATAACTTTTCATTTGAGCAATTTATTCTTGACAATCCCATGTTTTCTGATTTCTGTAATTTTTTATTGTTATGTTTATTTATTTTAATGCAATTCAAATATTTGTTTAATTCACAGAAAGTAAGATTTTCGTGTCATACATTGAAATTTTTTTTTTTTACTTTGAACTATTCAAATGAAATTGCATGTATTAATTTAATGTCAGTGCTAATATTTTTGTGCCACAATATTTTGTATATTTTAGTGTCATATATATGTGAGTGAAGTTTTTGTTCGCTATTTCAACTCCAGTTTGTGTGTGTGTGTGCATTTTTTTTTCTATTTTGTTGTATAGATTTATTTTACAATTATGTTTTACAGTTATATTTTATAGATTAAGAAATATTTAGATAAATCTCAAAAATCAAAGAAAAAAAATCATATGTACACTATGTTTTCGAGTGAAGAACAAATTATTTTTCAGAATTGTGTCAAATATTATTTAATAAAATAAACTTCTATTGTTAATATGTTTATTAATTTTTTATTATCTTTTTCGTATACAATAATTAACAGTTATTCTATAATACTTTGTATCAATACTGAAAGAAAACACAAATAATAAAATTCGAAAAGGATAAAACTTCTTTGAAAAAAACGCGCTAAGAAGCAGCAGAAATTTCAGAAAAAAGTATCAATACAAGAAACGAATGAAATAAAAATATGACCACCAAAGCCGACGTCTTCAGGGGGTACCGGCCTCGGTAGCCATTAAAAACAAAACCATTTCTAATTGAGGGAGAAGCAAATGCTTAAAATATCTCCCTCAGTACCCCGATGGTTTTGTATAGAGGTCCAGGAAAAACAAGATGCATTCAAAATAATTAACAAATTAAGAAAAGAAACTCAATCAAAATCATCAGAAAAATAAAAATTTTATTTTTAAATAAATAATTTTATTTAAAATAATTTTATTTAAAAATAAAAATTTTATTTTTCTGGTGATTTTGATTGAGTTTCTTTTCTTAATTTGTTAATTATTTTGAATGCATCTTGTTTTTCCTGGACCTCTATACAAAACCATCGGGGTACTGAGGGAGATATTTTAAGCATTTGCTTCTCCCTCAATTAGAAATGGTTTTGTTTTTAATGGCTGCCGAGGCCGGTACCCCCTGAAGACGTCGGCTTCGGTGGTCATATTTTTA